AGTTCCACTTTTTGCACATCCCTCAGACACGCATTCTATTATTCAGGACTGTGTAAGATGACTGACGAGAGATATATCCGATACCCGCAGCCGTTTGGGGATAGAAAGGCATTGTATGGGGTCCACAGACACTATGAAGCTTGTGAAAACGGTAATTAAAATTGATTCAGGAGATGATGTCGCCCCTCCTTTGCTCCCTGGTCGACAGCCTCGGCCCTAAGATCGTGTAAATAGTCAGTAAGTCCAAGGTAACAGCCAATAATTCAGAAGAGTGTCTTTCCTAGCCAGTGATGTGGTTAGAAACTACCTTTGTCTTTCCCTGTCTGAGTTCAGAGATAAAATGACTGATTTGACGACTTTTTTTCGCTCGCAACATTACCAAATACAAATTATCAAAGCATGAGGCAGAAAGGGCCATACTAGTAACATAGTTGACAACAGCCAAACCACGCCCGGGCCTAAAATCGACACCATTAATACGGTGTGAAGCTCTCCCATGAATCTCGCCAATGATCTATTTTAACAGAATAAGCGACAGAAAACAACTTTGTAGAACGCCAGATCTAATATCCTGGGAGAAACTTTTGTGGCTCAGAACTTGCGCAGTATGCGTTTTGCTAGCAAAACGATTTGGGTGAGTCTTCTACAGTCCCGAATATTTGTCGGAAATGAAATTGGCAGTAAGGTTTGTGAGATTTATCATTGTGTTATGGGCCTCCGAGGATGACCGAGTCCCATTCATCAGGATCCAGCCCATATCCCTACCTTTGCTCGATCACTTTATGAGTCCAAGGCGCAAGTTTCAACAAAAGACCTTAGTGAGAATAGCATTACTAACTGGTGCCTTTATGCTGCACATCTTCAATATTACATTGATGATGTCTTCCCACATTACTTACTTGTACTCGTTTCAGCTGTGATGATGCCTTATCTAGCCGGCCTCCAGTACTGTGACGGATAGGACCTCTCCACGCGTGACGATTTGTGGCAGTGGATCTGTAAAGCTCCACCC